ATGGAAGAGAAACAACAAAGAAACAAGACTCATTAAAAAAAACAAAACAAAAACTAATAATAATACTAATGGAACTCGTTGATATTCACCAACAAAACAATAAACAAAGCTCCAATTCAAATTCCCTTGATAACAAGAACACTAAAGCAGCAGCAAACAACACTACTTCTTCCACCACCACAGGCACCAGCACGACCACTACTACCCCTTCACAGCCTTGTCGATTTTCCGCATTCAACTCCACCTCCATTTTCGCCCAAAACAACTTATTCATTTGAGTGAAGAGGGATTATCATTTGAAACAGAACAAGAATGATTCGAAGTGATAATTCATTTGAAATCCTCTTCCCTAATTCTTTTAAGTTACATAACCCTTTGAGACTACGATATAGAAGAAACACATCTATATTACATTACTAAACAATGTAAGAACTACTAATCATATGTATCTCTGAAGTTTGGGCACATGCATATGATGCCGAGAAACGAGAAGGTGGCTCATCTCATTAAAAGCTACTTTATTCTGCACCTGTAGAGGATTCTTCTTCGTCTTTTCAGTACGATAATCATATTTTCAAATTAAAATCCTATGAAAAATCCAAGAATTAATCCACTACCAAATTCCATGACCATTGGTTGATTCCCATGTAAGTCCGCTCATCAATTCACTAGTTGGATGAGTTTGATCCGTCCCCTAATTTATCACAATCATCAAGAGGGTAGCCACATAATCCTTCATTCCCACCAAAAGAAGTGACATTAAACGCGTTAAACTGCCCATCGGAGGGAATTGGTCGGACAAGCAGATTGAAAAAAGTTCAACAACACAAGAAAATTTCAAGCTCCTAATTTGAGGTGGAAATCTACCGTCAAGTTGATCTTGAAAAGGTCTACGGATTCTATGTGAATCCAGCTCTCCGATTTCTTTCGGGATGCTTTAGCAAAATCTGTTTTAACCTCAATTTCCAGTCCTTAATATATGAAGTCACTAAATTTTGATATATAATTAACTTGAAGATGAATGTGTTTTTGAGGCCAGGTAAAAGTTCTTGTGCTTATCAGGAGTAGAATTTGCCTCCCTGTAGCTAATGCAACCGGGTTGGTTACCGGTTACGATACGATTATCAGGTGTGATTGGGTGTTTTTAAATTTTGGAACACCTTATTTTAATTTAACGGTTGGTATTGACCTTAATCATCTAACGGTCATAAAAGTAGACTGAACCATTCAGTCGATTGGACCATAATCGCTCCTTATATAATGGTTCAGTTTTATATATATATATATATATATATATATATATTCATTTTCAATTAGCTTCAAAAGTGTAAAGTTGTAAAAATGTACAGACTATATATAGTTGCCTTACAAAGGTTGGAGTTGGAGGGTAGAAGCAGTTCAAAGTTAGTTATTGCCCAATTCTTGAATAATTAGCTGTCGTACCCTATTTTTTTACTTTTTGTTGTTGAAGTTCATTTAATTAAGTTCCCATGAACGGAGAACTATTCTTCAATATATATGGTGGAGATCTTAATTCCCGTCCCCGGGGATTAGTACAGTCCAATATTGACGGGATTTTAACGATTCATTCATTCATTCAAACTTTCATCAGAAATCAATGGCATGTTCAAGAGATGTATAGATGGTATGTGATTTGTTTGGTATATATTCTTTTAATTCAAGTTTGTACTCCAGCATATTTCATTTAATTTGATTTTTATGTAAATATAAATCCAGTTTAATCATTAATTATTCACTCCTTGTTATCTTCCTATCGAATCCTCTCAATGAAAAACATACATATAAAAACGCAGAAAAGAAAAAAAAAAAAAAACCACACTTAGATTTGATAGATCACCCAAAGAAGGTAGTACATAAGGACATTAGAGGACATCAAATTAAATGCTTCACTCTACTAAGCAGTGAGCAAATCCTTGATTAAAACCAAAAGAAACGAAAAAGAAACAGAAAAATGAAAGCAGCCACACATGTTGAAGGAAAAAGCAAGCTAGGTAGTAGTATATAATTAATTAACCACGGAGGTGGTGTTAATTAATACTACTACTTGCAAATTTTGAAGCGCGCGCATATTTTTTTCGGCCCTTTTGTCTTTTAAATCTTGCACTGTTTGAGTTTGTGTTTGTATTCACAGCAGTTCCTGCAGTCATCCGTATTTGGACAGTGACAGCCTGGGCAAAATGGGCATTTCTGATGATGATTATAAAAGTGCAATAACTTCCTCACATTAATGTTGTTGTTGTTGTTGTTACTGGTTTTACCATTGAGTTCGTTCCTAGTTGCAGTCACCACCTCGGTAACTTTATCATGGTTGGGAAGCTTAGAATACTCGAATGTATGCGAATATTCGAAATGGGCACCCAGGCAGCCACAGATTAATGCAGCAAAAAGCATGCACACCATGAGGCTGGTTTTGGCCATTATTGGAACCAAAAAGAGGAAAAAAAAAAAAAGGAGAAAAGGAAGTTAACGTTGATTTGGTAATAAGGGGAAAAAAAGGTATGAAGGAAGGAGTACTAAGAATGATGGGTGATGATGATTAAGGTTGGATGGGTTTGGTAGAATTTTATAGTGGAGTGTCAAAGAAATGGAATTTGTTTGTAGTGGAAAACAAAGACGTAAAAGAAACAAATGGACAAGGATTTGACTTGGTATTCCAGGATTTTAGTTCATCTTGATTTTTTTTCAACAACATATTTTCTCTTCGTAATGTAAAAGCTAACCAAAAAAAAAAAAAAAAAAGAAAAAGCGATTTCTCCCGTATTAGTTACTCCTTCTGTTTCATAATTATTGTTCAGTTTGGATTTTTATTTCTAGTTCAAATTGTACTAAAGTTAAAATCTCAAAGTGGACAATAATTTTGGAACCGAGGGAGTATTACATATGTAGAGCCTTTCACTTTCTGAGTTGAACGACGTTTTAGCCTGTCACAATCTGCATTCTAATTCCGGCTATTTGTACTACGTGCTATTAAATCGGCTGGACAGAGTCCAACCTGGAGGGCGAGAGCCAAACAAATTAATCTCTCTGTCCCCGCCGGAAGCCATGCATCTGAGACATCCACAACAATGTTACCATATCGGTAACGTAAATTTTTTTGGCTTCAAATCTTTGGCTTATATAGGTGAAATGAAACCGAAAGCAAAAAAGAATGTTCGAACAGCAAGATCTTACCCTTTTTTTTTTTTTTTCCAGCCCTGTTCGGGTATCATTATTCTTAAGATTATTTTTTCTTTCTAGCTAGAGGGACGGACAGAGTAAATAATACTTTCTCTGGTTCTTAATATAAGACATTTTGATTTGTATTAAGTTTAACTTAGTACATATTTTTAATTGACGAAAAAACTTTAAATATATTTCATAACATTCAAGAGAATACGATGAATGTGAAAATATATTTTTAAAGTTTTATCATCAATTAAAAATGAATATTAGGTGAAACTTAGGACAAATCAAAATGTCTTATATTAAGGAACGGAGGGAATACGTCTCTCTATATCATACAATCGAGCATCCAAGTTCTTTTCTCTTGTTTTATTTGATGTCTTAATTTAAGATGATTATATATATATATATATATTTTTGGTTCAATATCTCTCATTTTTTATATTGTTTTACTTACAGTTAAAACTAATATTGATTTGATTTTATACAACCTTGAAAATGGGTTATTTTCGTTACACAGATACAAACAATGGACATGAAAAAGGTGATCGAAGGAAAAGAGATAGTAGAAAAAGATTCAATTTAAAATCAAAGTAGGATAACATAGAAGTTTCGGTTTCGTTTTGCAACAAAACTAATTTACTAACAGCCCATCAAATTTGTTTCTTCAATCCCTAGCCCAACAATTTTTCAGAGCCCAACAATTCATTACTTCAAGACACCACTTCCACGGTGGCATCCTAGTTTGTTGACAACACAGCGGCACGTACACACAGCTCACACATTCACAGTTATCACCCAGAAAACGAAACATTTTCGCTTCTCTTCTTGTGGTTTGTTTTATGCCATAAATCTTGAAATAGCATTCGAGATCAGCACAAAACCCTTTTGAGTAAGGAAGGGATACTTTGATCAGGCAGTTGTTACAGAGTTTTGGAAAAAAGAGGCATTCTTCATTCGGGTTGATTCAAGATTTTCTGCAAATCGTAAGTTGACTAACAACCCCTGTAATCTTTAAGAATAAGGGTGCTCTATTTTTTTTAATTTCTTTTGCAACTGTAATTTAAGATTTCTGAAGAAGAATTGATCATGCATAGATGTTCTTTGTAGTTTCAAATCATTTGGAACTGAGGTGAAATGTACAGGACACTCACATGCATGATAATGATTGTTTAAGAACTGATCATGGTGCTTTATTCTAGTGTGTAATTTAAACTTTTATCACTCCCAATAGGAATCAATCGGGCGAAATATACTACTGGAGCAACACACCGTATTTTATTAAATTCTCCTCTAACCTGCTTCTCCAGGAACATCAGTTGGGGCTGATGATCCGAACCAATCGATTTAATCGGATGCAATTAACCCTCTATTTCATTAATATAAACTTCTTTTTCTAGAACAAGGCATGTGAAATTGAATCCAAGTTTCCACTAGCCTAGAATGCAAATTTTTTTATGGTTTTTTGTTGGCTTGCTGAGAAGTGGAATATGCTTGCATTGTGAGTTGTGACTGTTGAAACAAAAATATGAACTCTTGTATCGGTTCCATTCCATTATTACACTTGGAAACATAAATTTAACATAGAGCTTTAATCTGTATATGTGCTGTTGTTTATTTTATTATCAGGCTTTCTTAAACCCAAAATTCTTTTATTTATTTATTTATTTATTTTTTAGATGTCTCAGTTACAAAATTGTGAGATTTTTCTTTTCTCTATGATCAATTGCAATCGACTGCTTATCCAGGTTTCGGAGACAGTCTTGAAAAGAGAGCTTACGCGAAATATGCACATAAAAGAATAACCATAGTTTTACATGTCTTTCTCCCAAACCACATACAATCATCTCCACCAGCCAGCCGTGATAATTGCTGGATGTTTTGGCTTGCTGGCTTTGACGCTGTCCATCTTCCTGATTTTTCAGCATCTCAGATATTACACCAATCCTTCGGTAAGTGCTCTAAAGATGTTAGGTCCGTCTGTATATGGATATTTTTTTAGATGGTTTTTGCCCCTTCTCCTTGCTAACATTTTCCCATCAAGTACCTCTGTTGGCGCATGGCGCTCATTCAATAATGATATTTCCATTTTAGGTGATCATTTCCTGAATTTCCATTTTTCTTACCCCTTGTAGGAGCAAAAATGGATTGTTGCTGTACTTTTCATGGTTCCAGTTTATGCTACAGAATCTGTAAGGCTCCATCCGTCTAAATGGATTGCATAAGTTCATTTCTTGTTCACTTGTGCACTTAGTTTAGATATCTATAAAATCTCGAGATTTGACAGGACAGAACTCATTTTCTGCAGTGTATTGTGGAGAATGGACTTTTTTTAGCCTGAATTTGTTCGTCTCACATCATGCATCCATCTACATAGTTAAGAAGCTGATTCAGTTTATTTTCCCCCCATGTTACGTGGAGATAATAAATGTGAACACATGTTGCATAGTAAAGGAAATTTCATTTTCTCATAATGAAAATTTCAAAAAAAAAATCACAATGGACAATGGTTGGTGGTTAATTTGCTCAAAGGAAAACCTTGCACATGTGGATTTACATCTACTCTGAACTAATCCGGCAACTCTGCTGTGTTCTCAGATTTTATCATTGTGGAATCCAAAGCTATCCCTTGCTTGTGACATCCTAAGAAACTGCTACGAAGCATTTGCTCTTTATTCTTTTGGGAGTTACTTGATTGCTTGCCTTGGTAAGAAGTTTTTTCAAGTTTTGATATGGTGGAAGATGCTTTGATTTAGTTATTATGTTTTTCTTCATGTGCAAAATCTTTTAATGTTATTGCTATGAATATTTGTACTTCTCTGCATCCAACTTCGATTTTAGCCCCTACTATGTTGAGATTTCTGTTCAATTGGGAAACATATTACAACTTCTTCCACTCTTTGTTTCTGCTTTATTTTTTGTTTTTTCATTTCTTTTAATGTTTTTCTCTCTCGTTAAGGAGTGAATTGCGTAGGATTACTGTAGTTAGTACTTTGTTTGCAGGTGGTGAACCGAAAGTCATAGAAATGCTTGAAGATGAATCTAAACAAATGAAAAAGCCATTACTAGAAGGCGCAAAGAAACCAAAGTTGCAACGAAGAAAAATGCGGGACTTCATATTCCAGCCATCAATGTTAGGGAAGGACTTGGTTACAATTGAAAAGTTTGGTCTTGTACAATATGTAAGTCAATGAAAGAATGCTTCGACTGGCTTTGGGGAATCGTTAAGTTCATTTATGTCTAATAACTTTCCGATAGTTTTCAGATGATTTTGAAGACTGTTTGTGCATTGTTAGCATTTGTGTTGGAGCTCTTTGGGGTGTACGGCGACGGAGAATTCAAGTGGTATTATGGGTAAGACTGCTTAACCAATATGATCATTTACCACTAATCATGTGTGCCTATGAATAAATGTGCACTACATATTTCTTGCGATTATACACATATTCTCACATCATCTAGCTTATAAATACATCAGGACTCCTATATGATCTATGTTTCTTTAAAATGTGATCCTAAGAAACATGAACGCTGTCAGAGAATTGCGGTCATTTGTAAGACAACACATAATTTAGCAAACTTCTTTCAGGGACATGTCATGTTTTTCTTGGATTTCCACACAGTACAGGTTGTTTGTGTCTTTGGACTCTCACTTGGGTGATTCTTGCAGATACCCGTATCTTGCCGTTGTATTAAACTTCAGTCAAATGTGGGCATTATATTGCCTTGTTCAGTTTTACAATGTCACCCATCAAAGGCTTCAGGCTATAAAACCCCTTGCAAAGTTTATTAGCTTCAAGGCGATTGTTTTTGCAACATGGTGGCAAGGAGTTGGTATTGCGTTATTATGTTCTTTTCGGATTCTACCGAACGAGGGGAAATTTCAGACTGCATTGCAAGATTTTCTGATCTGTATAGAGGTAAACATACATAGATCTGCATTCTGGGAAAACAGCGCAAATTGTTTAGGCCTGGTGCTCTCCTTAGTAATGCTTGTGTCGGAGGGACTGTAGATATTTTTATGCCTATGCCACTTACTAGAAGTTTCACATTTGTTTTTGGTTGAAATTTGAATAAATTAATCACTTCTGCTTCCATTGTTTGTAACATCCACCACTTTTCTGTTCCGACAGATGGCGATAGCAGCTGTTGCTCACATTTTCGTCTTTTCAGAAAAGCCATATCATTTCATCCCGATTTCTGAGTGTGGAAAGATATCCTCTCAAACAATGGAAGCTGTGGTTGAGGTGAAAGATGACAATGAAGTAAAGCCAGCCATCCTGGAAAAGACTGAAACTACAGTTGAGGCTCCTGGAACAAGTGTGAGGGAAAGTGTTCAAGATATAGTTGTTGAAGGAGGTCAAAAGGTAAGAGTTTCATACCTGACACCATAAAATTTTTTTCGGTTCTGTTCGAAGTATAAGTTGCGGATATTAATATTTTACTATGTGAGCAGGTAGTCAAGGACGTTGTATTGACAATAAACCAGGCAATTGAACCCGTAGAAAAGGGGGTGACAAAAATCCAGGAGACGTTCCATGAAATATCGGTCTCATCAAATGACGGCAAAGAAGAACAAGAAGTGAAAGATGTGAAGGAAGTAAAGGTTGAGGGACATGAGGAAAGTGTGATAACCAGTGGCAAAGTTTAAAAGTTCCCAGAAGTCCTGGGAATATGAGCACAGTGGGTTCGTTTAGTTTAATAGGGATAGATTCAAGGATCTTAAGAATGTTAAAACTGAATTTGGTGTTGGATGGAGTAGACCTTGAAAAATGTTGTCCTAGGTCCACGGACTGTATTCAGTAAATCCTTCTTGTTTTCTTAACCACAATTGAAAAGCTGAATTTACGTTGCATGTATCCGCGTCGAATATGAGTAGAGGGAGCAAATAAACGTTGTTAATTAGTAGTAGACGGTAGATCTCTGCTGACTTACTTCTTGAGAGAAACTATTGTGGCTAAATATAGCTCCCACCAGGGGCGGAGCTAGGCCCCAAACACTAGACAGGGTAAAAAATTTAGAGATGAAATTAGCTCGTGCAAAAAAAAAAAAAAGACAATTATATTTAATAAAATTTACAAAATTTTTTACAAAAAAATTGTATTGGGAAATTCATGTAAAATCATTTTATCACCAAGAACAATTCGTAAATGTGACAAAAGCAACGGAAAAATCACAATTTGGATGACTTTGATTTTGATTGTTTGAAGAGATTGAGCTCTTCAGTCTTTTTATTTTGATTTTTGAAGAGATTGTGCTCTTCAGTCTTTTACAATATGTGAGAAAGACGTGATTCTATGTTTAAAATTAGGTTTTTCTTTAGTCCTAGTAGTTTGTAAATATCTTAAATAACCTTAATTTATCTTTTAAAATCTAACATTTATCCATTTACCACACATAATAAAACTCTAACTCTATGCATTCCTACATTCGTTCACATAGTAAAAGTTAGTAATTTTATCTTTTTTTCCAACCAAAGTATATTTTACTGGGGTAAAAATTGGACATTCATAAAATTTTATATTACATTAGGGGTACTTGGGAAATTTTCAGCTGGGGCAAGTGCCCCACCTGGTTAAGCTGTAGCTCCGCCCCTAGCTCTCACGGTCTCAAAAGAAAAGAAGAGATAAGAATCCAGCTCCCCTAAAAAGCTAAAACCACAAACGATGTATCTTATCTATAATAAGTTAATATAAAAGTCACGCTTGGCCAAATAGTTTTTTACAATTTGATTGGCCTGGTGATAGTTACGTGACATCATCTTTGCATCACAATTATCTCATATTTTTAATTGGGGGCGAAAGCATCATTTACTAAATAGACATTAGTTAAAAACTAAATTTCCTGCCAACCCCCCTCAAAACGACGACGTTTCCAGTAAAACCCCCCTCTCAAAATGACGTCGTTTTAAATGGGCTCCTTAAAATAAGGGGAAAACACAATGGCTGATTTCTCTAGGAAAATTTGTAAAATTTTAGATCCAATAGTTGAGGTAATGTTGCGCTGTCCTTCAATTACCAAAATCATTCAAGCGGCGGTCAAATCTCCTTCGACCGCTGCCGATTTGCTCTTCCTTCCTCCGCTGTTGAATTGATCTTCCTTTATTGCCGTCGATTTGTTTGGAGGTTACAGCCGCTGTCGTGCTTTGAGGTAAAAAAAGAGCCTCATGCAGAATTTTAGGTTATTTCTTAATTTCCTCCAAAAGAATATGGTTCAGGAAATTTTTGGTTTTTGTTTTTTTGATTTCCAAATGTACTTACAATAAAGATTCAACAATCAAGTCGGTGAACCAATCATATATCCTCTGGTCTAACATTTTCCGAGTTCTGTTTTGTTGCCAATTTGTATTTCGTGCTTGTTATTGTTGGAACAATTTCGCTGACCTGATTTTTTTTCCTTTGCTATTAGTTTCTGATCTGAACCACAATAATTAGTGTTCTCGTGTGATCTTTGTGATCCTCCATCAAGCAAATGTGTTTTTGCGGGAGGTCTAATGCTTAGTGCAAGCCACTTTTGGCATTATTATCTTGCCTTATAAATATGGAATAATAGAAGTGATTGGATAACGTTGGAAACTATACGAGAGATTAGATAACTGTTCGACGAAGTTCGTGTTGGTAGTTAGAGGTTAAATTGTTGTACTCTCTCTGTCCCAAAATTATTGTCCAGTTTGCAATTTCACTTTTAGTACAACTCTCTCTGTCCCAAAATTATTGTCCAGTTTGAAATTTCACTTTTAGTACAGTTTGAACTAAAAATGAAAATCCAAAGTGGACAATAATTATGGGACGGAGGGAGTATGATGAATGGCCTGCTCATTTTCGATATCACTTATGGATTTGACTTTTTGTAACTCTAGAACTATTATCATCGTGAAACTTCTCCATAACATGATCTTGGAGTTCTTTTGATATGTTTGTTGTTAAGCTGTCTTGATAGATATGTGCAGCATCAAGTTTAAATTGTATATGTTTTCCTGACTTGCTATTATATTGTTTCTTTACTTCTCGAACCGTTTGTGTTGATGAACATATTGCAAATTTCATAGGACAGTTAGGAACAAAAAGAGAAATCTCTTGAGTTAATTTGCCTGACAATCTTTTTTTCCCCTATGAATATTAATTTTACAGAAGCTCGTTGAAATTAGCTTGTGCTACTTTTTATAAAGAGAATGAAGGCATCCTCTTAAATACATGCTTGACACTCGTATGATTTGTGTAGTTTAAACTTGAGATATTGATGTCCTAATCTGCAGTTTTCAATTTTGCGTTTTTACTTTGAGAGTTGGGGGTGTCTTGAAGTGTAGAAAAGGGTGAGAATATTTTCTTATTCTTAGCTACTTTGCTTCTTTCCTTTTTTTTCCCCCTCAATTGCACCAATGATGTTTGAGTTCTGCTTTTAAATTTATAATTGGTCTTTTTCCTCCACATTTTTAGGTTTGTTGTGAATGGTACGGCATTGCTCATCTCCATTCAAGACCCTCAGGTTGGAACCATGTAAGGGATCAATTGAGAGTTTCCTCCCCAAATCAGACCACCACCGACATCTTCCTCAAATCCGCCCCTCACATGAACCCTAAAAAATTTCCAAACCGGCCTCCAATTCCATCTCCCTCTTCCGAAAGTTCCTGGAGATGATGCCTTTCCAAACTAGTATTTATATAATTTGTCAGTTCTAAAAAAAAAAATAGTTCTCGTTGTATAGTACGATAGATGTATCTTGTATATTTATATAATTTGTCAGTTCTAAAAAATTAGTTCTCATTGTTTAGTACGTGAAATAATGATGTCTACTGGGGGTTTACAACTTTGGGGAGTTGCCACGTCGTCCATCTAGAAAGCAGCCCATGTTTTATAATTTCTTCAACACAAACTAGCTAAGAAATTTGCATCAACTCAAGCATCAATTGTGTGGCATAAATTTAGATCACAGACAAGTACACAAAGTATTGGATAAAATAAAAACTTCTTATTTTAGATCAAACATCAACAAGAGATAAACTTATTATTTTATGACATGGGGAGTATACATAAAATGTTTGCAGCGAATAATGCAAAGTCATTTGTGTACTGTAACACTTCAGAATGAGTCCAGCTTACGTGCAAGCCTCTCCATTTATCATCAGCAGCATTCATCTCACGCTGCAAAAAACCAAAATAAATAAATAAATAAAAATGGAGGAACATTATACATACTCTCTCCATTTCAGAATATAAATCACTTTAGATTTTGTATGTAAATTAAAGAAAAATAATTATTTAACAATTAATTTATGTGTTAAATATCTCTTTTATCCTTTAATAATTGTTTTGAAACTATAAATGGGACTAAATAAAGAGGAGTTGACATTATTTATTAACAGTAAAGTTAGAAAATTAGTCATTACTTACTGTCCTAAAACGAGAAATGTTTCTCCAAACCTTTAAAACTACTTATAAAATGAAATGGATGGAGCCTTGCAGAACAGTAAAAATAAAGAATGGAAAACATATAGTAAATGCGAGTTTTATACATACTTGTCGCAGTTGGTGGAGGTGCTAATTTCGTAGGGAACATAGACGTCACAGCGGTGAGGAAGTTCCTTAGCATTGTAGGGGTTGACATAGCGACTGTATTGCCGCTGCAGCTGCTGCATGCACCGGCAAGCAGTTTGTCGGTTGGCTGGTGTCCCGGCGGCGTTGTTGAGATTGGCAACGCCCTTGCAACAAACTCTGTCCGGCTTGGCGTTATTATCTTGCGACGTTAAATAGCCAAAGCATGGTAACAGGTACCGATTCACGTCGTCGCAGGTGATGGCCACGGCGGCATTGGGCATCATTAAAACTGTAACTCCAATCACCACCAACACCCAAAGCACCCCCATACTAACAATTCCATTCAATTTCGTCATTTTCTTTTCCTTTTTTTTTTTTTTTCCCTTACAGTTGAAAGTTTTCAACAGAAAATGATGAAATTGGTCACTGATTGACGAGGAGTGAAATATTTGATGAAGACCTCAAGGATAGTAATTATATAGGCCTGAGTTTGGTGCCACATGGACTATAAAATATATACTCCTATTAAATAGAGAATTAAATGTTGTGTACTTGCGTTGCGTTTTTATTGGAGGAAGTCACATGGAGGAAGCATAGTCAACTCTTCCAAATTATGTTTTTTTTTGGGTTGGACTATTGGTTAAATTATTCAGGCGCATTAAGCGTGAGATTTATCTGATTCTTACTCCAAAACCTTCAAAAGAAGTCTGCTAATAATGTTTAAAATTACGGGTTTATAGGATCTAGCCTAGAGGAGTTAAGAGCAAGAACGCAGTGCTTGATTTTTTCGACCTATAGAAGCCCATGGGTTCCACCTCAAAAAACCAATTGATAATGAGAAAAGTAATCTATGAAATTTACATATTGATACAAAGTCACTTCTCACACCAATGTGAGACAAGAGTTTCATCATTCTCCCTCAGGCCAAATGGGTATGGACTAGATCACCTTATATTTTTATGAGTTAGTTCGATCGCCTCTTAGTCCAGTATGCATGGACTTAGATCAGTCCGATCGTCTATCATAATACTGAGCCTGACCCGTTCTAATACCATATAGAAGTCCATAAGATTTCACCTCAAAACTAATTAGCAATGAGGAGATTAGCCCATAAAGTTTATATATTTATATAAAGTCACTTCTCACACCTATATATGACAAGAGTTCAGAGGCAACCTCATTCCGTGTGCTGTTGACTTTTTTTTAAAAAAAACAAAATTATTCCATCTACTAGAATGCATGCTTAATTGCTCATTTAGCTGTTTAATCGTTGCCAAATTATTTGCATTTCCCTGGTTAACATGCAGGAGGGTTACTACATACTAATGAAAATTGCATTGTCGTATATTCCTTATGTCCCAAAATTATTGTCTATTTTGAAATTTTACTTTTAGTATAATTTGAACTAGAAATGAAAACCCAAACTGAACAATAATTATGGAACGGAGGGAGTATAACTTATTAGTCCTTAATATTTATTAAATGAGTTTAGTTTAACTATCTGAATGATAATTTCTAGAACCCATCGAACTATTAAAAAAAATAAATAAATCGACTTTGTCTTGGCCCTAATGAATGAAGTTTGATAATCATGCGCACATTCAGCGTGTAATGCCACTATGCTTAATCTATTTCATTATTATACATTAATAAACCGATGACGACTATGACATTGCAGCAATCATATCGAGACTCTTAGCAAGACAGCTAGATAATCCAACCAAATAAGCTGGCTAGCTTGGCTGTAATTAAATCTCATTCTAAATAACGATACACGATTAATCAGTTCCAACGGGGAAGAAGAGAATTTCATTTTACACTAATATGTATCAAATGCGATCAACTCTTTTTTTGATACAAAGCAAAAAAAAAATTAAAAAAATAATAATAATAAAATAAATAAATAAAAATAAAAAATAAAACAGAGTAAGTAATAATATTAGGATATCTGTCATCGTTTAAACTTTAAAACAGTGGCGAAAATATTTCTATAGACATTACATAAATTTCTTAAAATTTTAACTAAAAATTTGATAATTTTGTTAATTTTTCCGTCACTGCTTTATAACCATAACGGCAAAAATAAGTAATTGATAAGTTTATATAGTAAAAAATTGGAAATGACAATTTCATGTATGGATTATTTAAGATTCAAATTCATATACGATTTTTCAAAAAAAAAGAAAAAGAAAAGAAAAAGGAATTCATATACGAATCTTTTTTCTATATATAAAATGGAGTAGTTGGTGTATCACTTGCATCAGGAAAAAAAAAAAAAAAATCAAATGTTATTCCCTCTGGTCATTTGATCACATATATGTTTGCTTGTTACTCAATCAGCAGGTCAGGTTGAAAGAAGGATTTGTTAAGGTAATTTTCAGGCTATGTGTGACATGTCAAAGTTTTCCTTTTAGACTAGGCATTTCAATATGATTTGCTGAATTTAGGAATGAGAGTTTGCAGTGGAATGTAACGGTGATCAATGGAAAAAAAAAACCCAAAGTTTACATCATCTCTTTTACCCTATTAAAGTAGAAGACATGAAACTTATGTGGCAACTAAGTATGCATCTGTTTTGGCTCCAATGCACCATATTTCAGATTTCAGGAGTCTTTTTGCCACGTGTAAGTCTCTTTTAATTAGAAGTTATATAATTTTTATTTTTTTTTTTAAAAAAACACATGTTTTACTACAAATAAAGATCAGTTACATTTCAAACGAATGGATATATTAATTCAAATTCAAATGTCCAATCGTATAGTTTTGCAGGCTTAATATAAACAAAAAATAAAAATACCTAAATCCAGCAATTAAGAATAATGCCTTATAAACTAATTATTTATTATTCCCTTATAACCTCAGATTTATAGGTATATTATTTTAAGCCCCAAATTATAGCATAAATGATATATACGCCAAATTAATTCCTCAAAAAATAGTAATTCAATTAGATTTTAATAAAATAGTAATTTAAAAGGGACGCCCGAGCATCTGTCTGGGCCAAACATCTAGTCATATATTATAGAAATAACTCGATAAATGAGAGTTTTGCCAAATTCTGATTTCTGAGACGACGGCAAAACTGGTCCGCAAATCTGGAAATACCGCCCAAGTGCCACCCTAATAATGTCCTCCCTTGTCCGCCTCTTCCGCCGTGCTTCCTCTACTCTGACGGCCAACCCAACTAGTAATATTAACTCCACCAAAGCCGTTGTAAAAAGCCTGTACGATGAGCGTAACCTCAAGAAATTGGTTGAAAAGTTTAAGCAACACTCCCACTCGGACCGATTCCGAATGCAAATCGGAATCTACAGGAACACCGTCCGACGCTTGGCCTCTGCCAAACGGTTCAACTGGATCGAAGATATCCTTGAATACCAAAAACAGTTTACCCACGATCTCTCCAAGGAAGGATTTGCGGTTCGGCTCATTTCCCTCTACGGGGACTCCCGCATGTTTGACAATGCTCAGAAGGTGTTTGATGAAATGCCGGAGCTAAATTGTGAAAGAACCGTGCTGTCCGTGAATGCCCTTTTGGGTGCCTGTGTTAGTTCCCGTAAGTTCGATAAAGTTGAAGGGCTGTTCAGGGAGTTAACGGAGAAGTTGAACGTCAAGCCGGACGTGTTCACATACAACACGGTGATCAAAGCAGTGAGCGAGTTGGGCTCGCCGGAGAAATACATTTCGTTGATGGATGAGATGGAAGAGAACGGGATAAAGCCGGACACGATTACGTTTAACCCAATCCTTATGGCGTGCTACGCAAATGGTAAGTTCGACGATGGGGAGAAACTTTGGAGTCGAATGGTGGCGAAGAATGTGGTCCCAGATATTAGGTCTTACAATGCAAGGCTTCTGGGATTGGCTAATGAGGGAAGGATGAATGAGGCCGTTGAATGCTTTAACGATTTGGGAAGTAAGAAGCTGAAGGCAGATGTCTTTAGTTTTGGAGCTATAATTAGAGGCTACTATTTAGAAGATAATCTGGAAGAGGTGAAGACATGGTATAGGAAGGTGATCGAGAATAATTTTGCTCCGGATAAAGGGATTTTCTCATATGCGGTTTCCTTGGCTTGCAAAAAGGGCGACTATGACTGGGGTTTTGAGATTTGCCAGGAGATATTTAAGAGGAAATGTAGTGTTGACGAACAGCTACTGCAGAATGTTGTTGATGGATTGGTAAAGGAATCAAGGATTGATGATGCCAAGCAGATGGCGGAAATGGGGAAGTCCAACAACTACCGTCAGTATGATCTGAGATTGCCTTCATAAGGAAGTCAGTGAATGAGATTTGAAGGTTTTCCATGTTTTCCCGTTTTGTTTCTTTAATCCTTTTGCGAGCTAGGGAAGATTATGCCATTGCATGGTATTTCATATGAGCTTAGGTAGCAGAGATAAAGTAGCTCTGCTCTGTAACATGGTTGCCTGTTACATCATTTTATACGTCTATGAAACTTTTGACATTTTCAACAATGGCGTTACCTCATTTATTTCCCTTTTCCCGATCACTTGCGCGAGACAGATTCAGGATTAAGATAGTGCATTAGAATTTGAAAATAGCATCCGTTGGGATTTTACATTACGGCATATAATCCCTATATATAGCTGAATATAGTTGGGGTGGGATGAAGACTGAGCAGTTGTACCATTTGACAATTGCTTTTCTGCAGCCATTTTATACTTGCTACGTAAAAATGACACATTGAGGACTCTGTTATCAGTTGTCAACTTATCATCATTCTGTCAAATCAGTTTCATAAAATTAAGATGGTTGCTATTATTACTTTATTCAAGATTCAACTGATTTTCAAGCAGCACCAAGGCTTCACTAGACTCTCCGAACTTGACATTTCATGATTACTAAGATTATTGACCAGAATCCTTCCAAGTTCTCAACTTTTTTGTTTAGTGATAAAGAATTCAGCTCTACGCAAACAAAATTCTCGTTTGTTGGTTCACAGTGAAAGTTCTTTTAGAGATGAAGAAACCATTCAGGATTCGCTGTAAAGTTTCAATATTTGTGAGATTACTTAATAACAAAGCTAATTCGTGTTTCCCTGTTTGTTGTTATGTTTGTTTTTCTTGATCAGATTGTTAAACCTTTGATTTACATTATTATTAATTAATTGTAATTAAAAAAATTACTCGTACATTACTTCTCTTTTATTTTTTTCCCCCAGTACCTTTCTATACTTTTAACTTTTACTCCTTTGCTTCCCCGCCGCCATTGTCTTCAACCTTAATCATACGACTTCCCTGCTCGTCCCTACCAAAAACTCTCTACAATGGAATCCACCGCTTGGAACCGTCTGCGAAACCTATTCTCGAAAATTCCAAACCCCGTCAAAACAACCTCCGCAAAGCCTAAGCCCACCATTATTGGAACTCCGGACAAAATGAATCATAAGCCCGCCGCCGGACTCGCGAAACCCACCCAGCCGGAACCCATTTCCGATGCTGCAAATCCCAATAAAACTTCTGTTGATGCTATAGTGAAGAAGTTCAAGGCCTCCTCAGATAGTAGAAGGTTTCGCAAGCGCGATTTCTATTATGAAGCCACCGTACGCCGTCTTGCTAGCCGGGGAGAGTTCTCCGCCGTCGACGAGATCCTTCAACACCAGAAAACGTACACCGACATCGCCGACGAGGGTTTTGCGGTGCGTTTGATTTGTTATTACGGGAAGGCTAAAATGTTTGATGAAGCCCGGAAGCTGTTTGATGAATTGCCGAGCTTGAATTGTGAACGAACCGTGGTTTCTTTTAATGCCCTTTTGAGCGCTTGCGTAAACTCAAGGCAATATGACAAAGTTTTCGAGTTGTTCAGCAAAGTCCCGGTGGAATTAGGAATTGAACCCAACGTTGTTTCTTACAATACGGTTATCAAAGGTTTCTGTGCTGTTGGCTGTTCTGATGAAGCTCTTTCCATGTTGGATGAGATGGAAAAGAACAATGTCAAGCCCGATGCGGTGACTTTCAACACCCTTTTGAATGCCTTTAACCAGATGGAAAATTTCTCGCAGGCGGAGAAACTGTGGAGTTTGATGGAGGAGAAGGATGTGGTGGCTAATGTCGGGAGTTATAACGCTAGGTTGAGAGGTCTGGTGGCGAGAAATCAGAATGCTGAAGCTGTGGAGTTGATAGATGAAATGAGAGCGAAAGGCGTCGCGCTAGATGTTTTCAGTTACAATGCTTTGCTTAAAGGTTTCGTCGATGATGGAAATCTAGAAGAAGCTAAAAGGTGGTACTGGAACATGATTGAACACGGTTTGAAACCTGATAAGGCTACATTTGGTATGCTGGTACCATTTGCTTGTGACAAGGATGATTTTGAGTTTGCGTTTGAGATGTGCAAGAAGGCCATAAAAACGAATCAAAAAGTTTATCAATCCGTCGTCCAGATGGTCATTGATGGATTGGTATTAAGATCAAAGGATGATGAAGCAGAAATTCTCAAGAAGATGGCAAGTACCTTCGTATTCAGGAAATTAAATTGATAACCACTGACTCTATCAAACTGATCTTTGTCGACTATCATTTTGCTTGATGATGCAAGTAGACTACTGCATTTACTCATTCGGTATTTGCTTAGAAGCGTAGAATCTAATGTACGTCGCCTAAGTTCTTGTCCTTTCTCTTTATCTCTTGGCGCGCGAGAGAAATTTATTCCGTCCCCCCAAAAAAAAAAAAAATTGTCCACATTGTACCAAAAAAAAGTACTAGTTGAAACATCATTATACTAGATTTCAAGCAGCATCATTAAGATTACTTGCTATGGTTTTCTTGGATTTGACCTTGATATCCTGCACTCAACTAACTTAATCCCTTGCACAGAAACTGTTTGATGGTTCTCTGCTAACACAAAAACTTGAAGGCTTCGTGTGAAATGTGGCTGCCCGGCCACTATTGTCTTCTAACTTAATCAGACACTACTCTTCAGTCCCGAAAAACTTTCTAAGCTAAACGGTGTTATTTGAATATGATTGAGAATGACATCATCCCTGATATCTACATTTGGTATACTAATATACAATTTGCTAGTGACAAGAATGATTTTGATTATGCAAGAAGGTGATGGTTGTTGATTTTTATGAAAAAGTTACCGAAAGTTTAGCCGGAAATTGGAACAACTGATGATGGAGGAAGTCTCTGTTTTGATGATGGAGGAACCCAAATCCCTTTAACAAGTGCAGTTTATCTTTTTACACCGTTTTTATACAATTTCTAGGGCCATAAAAAATGAATAGGAAGGTTCATCAATCGGTTATTCAGAGGTTCATAAATGGATTTCAAAGGATGATGGAGTAGAAATGCTCAAGGAAGATGGCAAATAGATTCATACACAGGATGTTAAAGTCAATTCACCGATTCTGATTGATTAGAGATGTAAATTCAAAACTCAGGACTAAACCAAATAAAAGCACAGAGTTGAGTTACCGCAATATTGTAGTATAATCTTAATTGTCACATTTCTGAGCTTAAGAATTCTTTTTTTTTGACCTCAGAAACACAATGTTGGTTGATGCTCCTCCACAGTCCACAGTGAGGAATTAATTACTTCCTCTGTTTCAGAAAAATAGTCGTATTGAGTTTTGAGATTTGTATTACTATTTCTTTTTTTTTTTTTGGTTGCAGTTTGTGTTACTATTTTCAAATTCAATGTAAACTATTTTTCTTTTTTTAAGACAAAGAGCTTATAAATGATGCTCCCATCATAGCATAATAATAATATATTCAAAACATAAATGTTTTATAAAGGTAAAATAGTTACAGCGAAGTGGAGGAAATAAATATTTATCAGTAAACATGTTTTTCTCATATAATTTTCACCGTCTGCAACACGGATTGATCCGCTCATTAAATTGCAAATACATCAATGGGTGAAATAATTAACATAACCATCACAATCGTAAAATCCGCTCGCCTAGTTTTAGACCCTTCTATTGGTGAAACAGTTAACAAACCATTAAAACCAAACTATTTATTTCCTAACAATGCAAACCAAACACCCTAGCTAATTTCCACCCAACTGATCACCCTATCACCATAATAATCAACCAACATGGATTTGATGTAAAGCTGAAGATCAGGAAGTTGTCGGTTTTGGTTGTAATCATACATCAGAGGAATCATCCTTGCCAGATTGAGGGAAGCCTTTTGGAAACTTCTTGATGATCGGTCAAGCCGGAGAAGCTCCATGTTAAGTCTCTTCCATTCCTCTGAAATCATACTAGAGATGTGATCTCTAGCGGATTCAACACTCACGCCTTCATTTTCATTCAAGTAGTAATTAATGTAGGACCCGTCATACCCATTTTGTCCTTCATCCTGCCAAAATGATAGTACGAAATTCCACATATATATATATCAACAATTTTTTTTTAAAAAAAATTATTTTTAAAGCAATGATAGAAATCATAAAAAAAAATTTATAATGAATAGTGAGTAATGAAAAGTCATAAACTTCAACTAATTACTAAAATACAACCTCTTTATAAAGGCACATCATATCAGTCACTTTCGATACGTATCCTTTTTGTTACTATTATGAACAGTCAATTACAGATACTCAAATCATAAACAAAATGTGTTGCATGCATGGATTACCTTTGAACATCCTAAATCGTCCCAAAGGCGAAGAATTGTTGCCACAGAAGAAACAATGCCCGATATATCATCCAGAGTAGTAGAGCTTTTAGAGCTTGTTCCAAACCCCAAGAGATAAAGTACGTGTACTAAAACAACATGAACTCCGGAGCTCACTTTTGCATTCCTCAAGTATTCATCCGAGTTTGGAAAGTTTTCAGACCCTGATGATGAAGCAAACCATCTTGATTCGACCAGAAATGCACTGCACAAATCTCCCCACTGCACAGAGAACATGTACACATAATTCATCTTGCGTTATGTGGGAAAATGTCTAAACTATATTTAACCAAAAAAATGTCTAAACTATTAAAGCAAAGATGTTAATTACCGTCTTTCTCAAGGGTAGAAGTGGATTGAAGCCATGTTTTTTCTGGATTTTAAGCGCTGCCTCATTTGTGACGCGATAAACAGCCCTAAAACACTTCTTCATGTAGTCTGGTAATTGCTCAATGGAATCTAACTCCCATCTGCCGACATATCTCTTGTTAGATGGCCATTTGTAACCGACTATAAAAATTTTGGATAAAAAAGAATTATGTTTTCAAAAATACACGGAATATAATTTGAGCAAAAGTTTTAAAGTTCAATAAGCGATAAGTAAATGATATGATTTACTTGACATTTTTAGTTGTCTTTTTTGTACATAATTTTATTACTCCGCCCATTCCAAAATGAGAGTCTATGTTATTCAAACCTGAAAAATAGTGATGGAGGCATTGACAGATTGACACGATTGAAAGCCGAAAAAAGCTAGACATAAAATCCATTGTATGACACCAATTAGTAAACGTGACTTTTCTTTTCGAGTCGGGTGGACCATACATGCTGTTGGTTTTGGCGCATACCTTTTCACTGCTTGCGTGAAGAGATTCAAGTCTTGAGGGTCGCCATAGAGATCAAAGATATCATCAATGACGTAGATAAATGAAATGGTTTTGGCAAGGGCCATCCTTTCGTTTGACAAGCTGAGGTTATTGAAAATGGCCATTGCCCATGTATACCATTTCAATGGTTGGTCCCTTGCGTGTTCTAATTCCTTTGCCATTCCAAGATCCTCCCACCATCTAAGAATGAAGTTACCACAAATTATCTAATGCATGATTTTCTGGTAAAACTTCTATTAGTTCAAAGAAAAGTAACTAAAACATAGGAACTGAAAAGAATGATAGACATTTGTAACATATAACCAATTACTTGGATTAGTTTCAAAATAAAAACTTACTTGGAAATGTGATGTAGTTCTTGTCGATGAATACCTTGTGCCATGTAGTTTTCAAAAGTTGACAATTGTTTCAAGCTTTTTTCGAGTCCATTTATGGCTTCAAACTCGTTCGACATCAAGTTCATGGAGCTGAATCTAGCTAAACTTTTGCGGTAAGGATGCCTCAAAGTGTGATTGATCTTGCTCGCAGTACTCGTACCATCAAAACATGCGGACCATGCAGTGAGCCTTTCGCTACTGAATTTTGCAGCATCTTCAAGTATATCTTCGCCTTCTACACCTAACTGAGCAGCTTCATATAATTCCATCAAACTCTTGATGTCACCTTTCTCATTTCTCATAATATTGAATCTCCCTTCGCAGTCGATGAACCTGTTAAATACATCTGCTTCATACATGCTAATATACATGAGTTAATTATTTCATTAATCATAATACCTCTTTCTTAAAAAAAAACAGTCTACATTAAGTTTTGAGATTTATATTGTTTTTAATAAAAATCTTAAAATTTAATGTGGATTTTTTTGTTTTTTTTGGGACAGATGGAGTACACGTTCAAGAATATTAAAATTAATGGTTAAATGGCACGTGAAGAACAACCTGGTGCAACATAGTAACCCTCCTGTCTCAATAGCCTGAAGGCCAGGGAATCTTCATAAAGAGAATCACTTCCAGAAATGGAAATAGTGCGAAAATGACTTTTCATCGACAAATAATTGCAGTAATATCTTCTCAACAGTGCATCAATTTCGTGTTGGAAATGGTGATCAATCCTTAGCCTTTGAATGACATCAACCAGACATAATTCCATCACCGAAGCTTCACTTCCCACAACTTTTAGTTGGTCCCCAACAATTTCCCTGAGTTTGTTAGCATGTTTCATGGATAATAGTTCATCCTGGACCTGTTGAAGAAAAACCAAAATAACTGATCCCATGACATAAGAACAAGAACAATACATATGTACAGTGTCGTATTAACGAATACCTTAATTTGATGATGAAGATTCTGATCGAATAATGAGGGCTTAATCACATCATTACTGTAAATTTTCTGGGTTCCCCATTTATGGCTGTTGACGATACTAATACATCTAACAAGGCGCGGGTTTCCTTCTTTACGTGGTTCGTGAGCACAAAAGTATGATGAGAAAGGTGATTGAACAAATTTAATTATCATGGTGAATGTACAAGTGAGGAAACTGTGGTAAGGAAAAAATAACTGTAAACTGAAAAGAAACCTGGACAATTGATGAACGTTTCATACAAGAAGTCGGTACTTATAGATTGGTTGATGAAAAGGGCATTGATATTTTTATTATTATGGTTATGGACATTGAGAGGCCAAAAAACATACTACGTCCTCAGATGTTTATTTATTTATTCATTTACAATATGGAGCAGCCAAGACAATTAGTACCCTTATTTATACATCAATGAACAGATAAACTCACATCCTACTCTAATGGAAATTGATCAATGGACTTGTGTGAAAAGTCTGACTTAGAATCTCTATCACTAAATTAATACTCCCTCCGTCCCATAATTATTGTCTACATTGTCCAAAAAATTTTGTCCCAAAATTATTGTCCAATTTGACTTTTTATGGATCAAGTTACACATTTGTCCTTAGTAAAAAACATTATCCATAAAATCTTAGTGGTTAAACAATTACTTATGTAGGGGTATATCCGGTTGTTTAAGGTAAAATATAGTTAAGTTTGACCAAAAATAAAATCTTACATTTTAGTAAAATTGGACAATAATTATGGGACGGAGGGAGTATTACATTCTTTGAATTTTTTTTGTTTTTTGAATATTGTCCCTTTAGAAGAGTTTGTATGTTTTTTTTCAACACAATATTTTCCTGTTACCTTTAAATCTCAGCACTTTTCTTCTTCTTCTTCTTCCTTTTTTTTTTTCTTTTTGTTTTACTCAACAGTAATTTTAATACGCCAAATTATTGACGGATAACAGGGTGCAACCAACATACATATCAAATTCCAAATCATCTTTTTTTTTTTGGTTACTATTTTGTGCGAAACTGAACGCGTAAATACGACTAAAATGGAAATACTATATACATTGGAGGGGCATCAAAATGGAATCTGTTGGGAGCCGATAGAGAAAGAGAAACACTAGAAGCCACCTACCAAAATGGGCAACTCTCAAGTACGGAGTAAATTGGAACCACCCAATCAATCTTCAATTTTTGGTCCATCTTTTACTTTCCAAAACTTCAAAATTTTTTCATTTTTTTAGTGTGTATTTTCAGGTATTTTTTGTATTAAAAATGTAAAAAAATATATTGAAAATATAAAAAAGTATGTTGGGATGAGACAGTTAATAATAATTTAATTTAAAAATATCATCAAAAACAGGAAACAAACAAAGTCAGGTGTGCCTTTTTTTTTTCTTCTTATTTTTGGTTTGTTTCTTTTTAATATATCCTCATTAATTATTGTACTGTTGTATTGTGAAATGATTGTAGCCTGTGTATGTACTACGGGTTTTAAGTAAAACCTGAAACATGTTCAAAGTTAATTCCTTTTTTCTTTTTTTTTTTATCTAACTTGGGATAGAAATTTATGGGTAAAAAGAAAATAATTTTCGCTCCCCGTCCATAAAATCAAAGCGGTTTAGTGGTGTCAATTTCTGACGTGTCGAGAAGGATCATTATTGTGTGTGCATATATATATGAAATAAAACTCTCAGATTATTTGAAGACAAGTATTTATCATCAATTGAAGCTGTTATCTTCTTAGATTATACTTACGAGTTTGGAATTGCAAGACAATTCCAATCGTTAAATGAAATGCACTAAGATTAACTATAATCTAGAGGATCTGACTTGTAGTCCTTTTGCACAAATCTATAAAGTATAGTGAAGGCAACCATCTAATCGAATAGCTAAATTCCACCCAACTGATCAACCTCACAAACATAATCATCATCCAATTCCAACATGTGGATTTGATGTAAAGCTGAAGATCAGGAAGTTGTCGGTTTTGGTTGTAATCATACATCAGAGGAATCATCCTTGCCAGATTGAGGGAAGCCTTTTGGAAGCTTGTTGATGATCGGTCAAGTCGAAGAAGAAGCTCCATGTCAAAAGTTCCTTCCATGCATTCCTCCGAAATCATATTAGAGGCGTGAACCCGTCATGCCCATTTTGTCCTTCGTCCTGCCAAAAGGCAACAAACACAGTTATATTGAAGTCCACGTGAAAATTGCAGTTGTGGTCAATAGCAAATGACAGGGTTGGATTGCCGTCCTTTTCTGTGAACAAATAAAAAGTGGTCAATATAATAATAACAATAATTCTCTAAGTTTTTTTTTTTTTTTTTTGTGTTTTTGAAAAAAAAATGGCGTTGCAATACTGGGATCATGAAATATATTATATATAATATGCCATAAAACAATAATCTTAACTATTTTTTATTATAAAAAAACTTTTCAATTTCAACAAACAACATGGCCTTACTTCTAATTGGTTTATTTTCTATTCAGTAGGTGTTAGGTAAAAGAATCCGTGGGATGGTTCAGTTTAGAAACAAACAACAATTATTACTTCATTCCTCCATACTAATCAATGAATTCTGTGTAGAAACTCTCAAAAAAACGTACAAGTCATGCAAATGCTTTGTGGAATCATGAATAAAATAGATAAATACACACTACGTACCATTGAACATCCTAAATCGTCCCAAAGGCGAAGAATTGTTGCCACTGAAGAAACAACGCCCGATATGTCATCCAGAGTAATTGAAGGGTTTTTGGAGCTTGTACCAAAACCCAAGAGATAAAAATACATGTACTAAAACAACATGTACTCCCGAGCTCATTTTTGCATTCTTCAAGTATTCATCTGACTTTGGCAAGTTCTTAGATCCTGCTGATGAAGCAAACCATCTTGATTTTACCAGAAATGCACCGCACAAGATTTTTTCAATTGCACCTAAGTCCCATCTGGCCGGATAATCTTCTAGCAGTTAGGATTAAGACACACTACTTCAAAATAAAGGTGTGAATGAAAACATACAAGATTTTTTATTTTATTTTATTTTTTTGTGTGATGGTATACCATTCGAAATCATGGTAGCAAAGGTGTGAATTAAATTAAGGTGAACAGCTAGATACAAACTCCAACTGAAAACAGCAAGTTGTTTGAATAAAACACATGAGAACTTTCTTTTTCTGGAAGGTTTAGTGTGAATTTTGTGTTAATAAATTAAGCCTCGTGAATTGATTGCTATTAGTACCTTTTCACTGCTTGCGTGAAGAGATATAAGTCTTGAGGGTCGCCATAGAGATCAAAGATATCATCAATGACCTAGATAAATGAAATGGTTTTGGTAAGGGCCATCCTTTCATTTGATTGCGTGCTTTAATTCCTTTGCCATTCCAAGATCCTCCCACCATCTACAATTTCATTAATATGTATGTGATATATTAATAATGCATGATTTATTACAAGTTAAAGTTATACCCAAAAAAAAAAGAAAAAGAAGTTCTCAATAAAAAAGAAGAGAAAAGAAAGTTGTATATGGTGTATACAACCCTTCTCTCAATATAACTCACTTGGAAATTTGAAGTAATTCATGTCTATGTTGGGCTCTTGCCAAGAAGTTCTCAATAATTGATAATTCTTGCACGCTTTTGCCAAGTCCATTTATTTTTACAAACTCTGTCGACATCATGCTCAAGTTGTTTGATTTGAATCTGGCCAAACTTTTTCGGTAAGGATGTCTTAATGCATCTTTAATCATTAATCTTGCATTATTATCATTAAGATATCTGGTCTATTCATTGAGGCGTTGGCTACTGAAATTTGCCGCATCTTCAAGTATATCTTCACCTTCTACTCTTAGCTGAGCAGCTTCGTATAACCCCAACAAACCCTTCATATCATCATTTTCCTCAGTGATTTTCAGATTGAATCTCCATGTCTTGTCCGTGAATTTATCAAAGATATCTGTTTCATACATGTGTAATGCAGGACATAATGAACTAGTTAATTAAGATGATACTAACCTCAATGAGATCATTTTCGTTTTTAATACTTTTGTGCCATAAACTAGATATACTTCCTGAATAATGAAATGATACGTTAGTTTTGTTTGATATGATGATACCAAGACAAACATTTATTGATGAACTTATATGCGTTTATTTATGAAGCAAAAATAGTACTCTACAAAAAAAGTCATGATCGAAAACCTTTATTACAAATTAATGTCGTAATCAACAAAGACATCAACCATTTAAAATGAGTACACGGCTTTCTAAAAATAGGCGTGTATCCAAAAAAATGATTTGAAGTTACTCTAATACTATTCGGGAAAAATAGCCACGATTACATTATAACTTTCGGTTAAAATAATTATTTACTTTAATTTTCTATCAGACTCCGGCCTCCTTCATTGTATAAAAAAACCAAAAAAAATTATCCACTTTATTAAAATATAATTGTTTATAGTTTAGATTAAAAAAATAGTAATTTCTTAATATTGATCGAGGCCAAGTTGGAGACATTTGTTTTTCGAAAATAATTTACAATTGAAAGAAAAAAATAAAATAAAAGGGGAGGACAAAACCTGGAGCCACGTAGTAACCCCTCTTGTCTCAAGAGCCTGAAAGACAGCGAAACACCATGAATAGAGTTAATAGGACCAGAAATGGAATGGCAAAAACGGTTTTTCACCGAAAAAAATATATATATAATGTCTCCTCAACAGTGAATCGATTTCATCCTGGAAATGATGATCAATCTTTAGCCTTTGGATGGCATCGACCAGCCATAAGTCCATCATTGAAGCTTCATCTCTTTCCAGTGTTTTCAGTTGCTTCCTTACATCGATCCCTTACTAGTTTCTCAGCATGTTTCATGTATAACAATTCATCCTTCACCTGATATCCAAAAAAAAAAAAAAAAAAAAATTAAATAAAGTCTTAGAATAATATGTAAGATGGAACAAGAAAAATACAATTGTTGGATTTGGGTACGTATTAACCTGATGATTTTGACGATATAATGAGGGCAGGAAATCAGAATTGAGATTATGCTGGTTGCCCATTTTTTGGCTGCTAACGCTGAATTTAACAAGATTTGGGTTTCCTTTGTGTGGTTCATTATTAGTAGCCGTACTAGTAATGTAATTGCATGATAAGCCAGCAGGGTGAACAAAAGGTTGTGTTATCATGATGAAGAACAAAAACAGATTTGTGTGAAGAGAGAAATAGAGAAACTGAAGGAAATAAATTACTAGTAAGGATTTTCTCTTATGTTGTGGTATATTTTGAAAGAATTATTGTATGTATTATTCACATGATACATTGTGGTATTTATAGTACAATAGTGTACAACCCTAATCGTTTACATAGGAAACCCTAATTAGGATTTTATACAAGAGTTATTCGTCGTAACGGGAGACTCTAATGATTATTACTATTTTAATAATATTCTCTATGTCCCATATAAATAATTATTTCTATTATAATTTTTTTTTAAGAAGATTTATATTATAATTTTCGAATCAATAAAAACAACATAATTCTCTCTTTTCTTTTTTTTTTTTTTGAAATGAGTAAGAGACCGATCGAATATCATTTTTCATTAGATGATTCATGCTTTACGCGGTGGCAAATGTTGAAGTAAAACTAATGTTCAGTTTCTCTCATATTACTCCACCGTAGTGTGTTCCTTGACAAGACCCATTATATAGAAATCTTGCACAAAATAAAATTAATAAAATATCAACACTTTTTGGTATATCATACACGTGACGGCCAAAATAAATGTCTCAAGAGTCAAGAGCTCTCAAACAATTCGAATCGAGCCAAATAAATATTTTTTAAAGTACAAATTTTTCCATATATATTATTAACTTCCACAGATCACGAGTGGGAGGGTATTTTCCAGTACTCTCGTTATGTTGGGTCTAAAACACAGACAGTAATAACAGTACTACCTACTCTTCCATTGTAATTGAAGTGAGAGAGCTCTGGTTAAATTTCCCACACAAACGAAATCAGGACAAGTACAAATTCGTCGCATTCGAGGCTAATGACTTCATAGATCCTCAAACAAGTGAACGTCTGTTGCTGGAATTGGGCATCTATGACACTATGCCTAAAATAGCACAGGAACCACACAAAATTATTGTGATGACCAGGAACCACACAAACTTGGAATCACACTACTTAATCACATATCGGAAAACTCGTAGTAAGTTACATTTTCAAAAAAAAAAAAAAAAAAAGATATTTATACAACTAATTATTACTATCTTAAATATTGTAAAATCATCTTCCAACTGGTGTGGATATCAAGAAGATGTTAAATTTCATTGTGGTCATTCATCATAGGGACCATCCTCAACAGATTAAGGGAAGCCTTTTGGAAACTCGATGATGAGCGGTTCAACCGAAGGAACTCCAGGTTAAGCCTCTTCCATTCATCCGAAATCATATTGAAGACGTGGTCTCTAGCTGTTTCAGCACCCACGCCTTCATGTTCGTTTATGTAGTAATCAATGTACGACCCATCATGACACATTTGTCCCTCATCCTGACACTATAACAACGAATGAAAGATGACAAACCACAATCAGAAGCTATTTCGGTGGTCCATTGGAATAGATGAGAAGGATACAATAAATCTCGCCGTTAACATGAAACGGTTATTTATTTAGTAAATATACATACCTTTGAACATCCTAAATCGTCCCAAAGACGAAAAATAGTAGCTACGGAAGAAGTAATTCGCAATGTGTCGTCCAGTGTGATGGAGCTTTTGTTTGTACCAAACCCCAAGAGATAGAATGCGTGAACTAACACCACATGCACCCCAGATGTTACTTTTGCATTTTGCAAGTATTCATCTGACTTTGGCAAGTTTTCAGAGCCTGAAGAAGCATTAATCCATCTTGATTCTACCACAAATGCACTAAACAAGTCTTCCCACTGCCAGAAATAAATCCATTTTATTGTTACACTCTATTAATTAAGAAGATATAGCCCAAAATAATAATAATAATAATAATAGTAATAATAGTCTCGCAGAGATAAGATAAAGGCATGTTTTACCGTCTTCCTTAAGGACTGAATGGGGTTGAACCCATGTTTCTTTTGAATCTGAACTGCTACCTCATTTGTGACCTCTTGAAGACCACTGAGACACTCCTTCATGTAGTCTGGTAATTGTTCATTTGCACCTAATTCCCATCTGTTTGATCATATTATAGTTATGATTAGATTCCATAACATAATCATAACAAGAATGATAGTGAAAAACTTATATATCTTTGAACTCTATAGCTAGGTGGCTACAGTAAATACCTTTTCACTGATTGAGAGAAGAGATTTAAGTGTTCAGGCTCCCCATAGTAATCAAAGATGTCATCGATTAGGTAGATGAAAGAAATGATTTTGGTGAGGGCCACCCTTTCATTTGACAAGCTGAGATCATTGAGGAGTGGCAATGGCCATGGGTACCATTTCAATGGTTCTCCCCTTGCATGCTCTAGTTTCTTGCCTATGCCTAGATCTTCCCACCATCTACAATATATATAGTAGATTTGGTTATCAGTTTTTCAACAAATAATTAATGTTTATATTACATTCTCCCTGTCCGAAAATAATTTTTTTGTTTTCGACTTTCAATTTCAAATTAATTTGAATTAAAAATGAAAATCCAATCATTTCAAAACGGATAGAGCATTAAATCAGTTGAAGATAACTTTTGTTATTAAGCGTACAAGAGTACACTCCATTATTGTGTAAGCCACTTACTTGGAAACTTGAAGTGATTCTTGCTTACGTACATCTTGTGCCCTGTAATTTGCAACAAATGACAGCTCTTGCAAACTTTCTTCAAGTCCATTAACCCTAAAAAACTCGGCTGACTTGAAGTTCATTGACCTAAATCGAGCTAAACTTTTGCGGTACGGATGCTTCAAAACATTTTTAATCATGCTTGCATCATTATCATCGACATACTCCGCCCATGCATTAAGGTGTTGGCAACTGAATTTCGCGGCATCTTCAAGTATGTCTTCTCCTTCAACACCTAACTGAGCAGCTTCGTATAATTCCATCAAAGCCCTAATATCCCCTTTCACAGTTTTCATATTGAATTTCCCTTTCTCGTCCGTGAACTTGTTAAATACATCTGTTTCCATAAATGCATAACAGTCAGCGTTGTCACTTATAGTACACGTTATATTTTAATATAAAATTCAAAATTCGATAATCATTTTAGACCAGAAAAAATATCAAACTTGGCTACCTGGGGCCACGTAGTAACCCTCTTGTCTGAGAAGCCTAAAAGACAATGAAACTGCAAGAAGGGAATCAGGACCAGAATGACTAAAACGACTTTTCGATGACAAAGTGCATATGTAATGTCTACGCATCAGTTCATCGATTTCCTGGCGGAAGTGATGATCAATTCCAAGCCTTTGGATGGCATCAACCAACCATAAACCCATCAATGAATCTTCTTTGCCACAAGCTTTTAGCTGATTCCGGACAATATCACTGTGTTCCTCATGTTTCAAGGGTAACATTTCATCCTGCAGGACCAATAAAATAAATGTCCCAGAATTAATAACCGTAATATAATTAAGAAGGTAATTAATTAAGTAGGGTTTCATAGGTACCTGATGAGTTTGATGGAGAAATGAGGGCTTGAGATCAGAACTGACATTTGGCTGGATGGACAAATTAGGGCTGATTAAGCTACAATTAACAAGGTTTGGTTTTCTTTCTTGAAGTTGTTCGTTACTATGATGAGTAACATTATAGTAACGTGATGAGAAAGCTGAATTGGCAATACTTGGGATCATGGTGGATTTTGTAACTAAGAAAGATTGTTGGAATCTAGAAAGAAACATAAATAAGTGCTTCTTTTTTTAAAACAAAAAATTGCTTATGGAAATTGAGAAGAGCACTTATTCGATATTTATAGAGAGTGGATATAATAAAGCTTGCCGAAGAAATGGAAAACGCCAAGAGTATTTTAACTCGTGGGTACTTGGCCGGATGCCGGGTCCAATTTCTGCTGTATATACTAAAGAAAAAATATCATAAAGTAGAGAAAATTAATTAAATTTGGTCAATTAGATAGTGAAACCTTCTGAATCGACAAATGCGCGTCTGGTAAACTGTTCATGCAAAGTTCTTGAGTTGTTGGTATGTTTGAACCACGCGATTAAATCAGTACTTTCTATATCCAAAAAAAGAAAGTGTGTTAATAAACCAAAAAAGTATTCCCTCTGTCTAAAAAAAATATAATCCGTGCGTATTGAGTTTTTGAGATTTATATTATTTATAATACAAAATAAAAAATTCAATATGAATTGGTTTTTTGGAACGAAAGAAGTACCATAAACAAAATTATGGTATTGAATTTTTTACCAGTGACGTTAGAGAGCTTATTAATTTTCAGAATGGTATTCGTAACTCTAAGTTCATAATATGTTCTTGGAAAGAAGAAAATTCGTCTCGACTAATTAACAACCTCGTCCTTGGCAACAAGAATATCTGAACCACGAAACTAAACGACTGATAAATGCGTGACGAAGATATGCATTTTGTTGAGTGGCATGCAAATTTGTCGCCCTGCATACAATTTTTAACAACCTTGGTGGGATCTAATTATCGTCCGAGCTGAGTGGTCTTTGTAGTACATGCAAAATTCGCATTTGATTGGGTGCCGAAAACATATTGTTCAATAAACTCTTCCCTACATGGTACATTCACTTATTGGTTTCACATGTGAATATCTGTCAATGTTGCCGTATAATCGTGACTTCAGAGACTGCAGTTGCTTTCTACCTCTCATTTCTGGATGGTGATTGTCTATTTACCTAAGGTAAATGCCTCTTCATCGTAAAAGTTAACTCAACAACAGTAACAATATTACTCATTCCGTCCCATAATTATTGTCCAGTTTTAGATCATTTTTAGTTCATTCTACGTCCCATAATTATTATCCAGCTTGAAATTTCATTTTTAATGTGAAAAAATGAAATTTCAAACTGGACAATAATTATGAGACATAGAGAATATAATTTTAAATAAATAATTATAATAAAAAAGAATCCAAGATTCACATGTGACACACACTCGAACGAGGACATCATGAAACCGGCCAAATTATCCCAAATTTAGAAATTCTAAGTGGTCCAACCTACCAACTTTATACACCCATGATTCTTTTTTGGTAATTTCAAAACAAATTTATTTATTTTTCCGATAATTTAAAACAAATTATATCCCCCCAAGTAAAACCAAAACACCGACCACACTCCGTCCAGTCGTAAACGTGTACTCATATATACAAAGTTAATTCGTTTTCTCAAAATAATTTCCCTGTTTACCATAGTAATATGCAAATTTTACTACAATACCATAACAAGAATTAATAAATCATCATTTCCAACAGGACGGTATTTGTGCACTGATGAGATATGTACATACTCCGATATCGATAATAGGCTACGGACCAAGCTTTCTCAGGTGTCATGACATTATTTTATGGATCAATCAGAGCCCTTCGTCTTTCCGTATCTCATCATTTTAATGTTTCAGGTTTGCCCAGAATTAGATAACCATTTTGGCAAAAAAAGAAAAAAAGAATTAGTGACTAAGGAGCTGCAGGTGTTGTTACATGCCTAGCTAAGTATGTTTGGCATGAGGCTAAGAATAGAACTAGCTCGTCAAAGGGCTTGCTTACGTCATTATATGATGAATACAAAGTAAGGAGTTCCATAATTTTTTTTTTTTGAAAAAAAAAAGAAAAACCAAATATGTATGTTTGTATCTGTATATACCCATTGAATTTGTAAGATAAGAACAGAAATTAGAGATTAGAAAAAAAAAAAAAAAAAGGCAGCTTGGAAAATGGTATTATCGCTTCAATTCATAGGCAAAGTAAAAAATGGATATTATATCGTAGTGAACAAAGCACTTAATTACTTCAATGGGTCTCTAACATTAGTACCGTTACATTACATGTAGATTTTAGATACGAAATTAACAGAATTTGACCGGGGAAAGAAATAAAATGCATATATCGTCTAAATGTATCAATTCTTTCTGTTTTAAAAACAAAATTGTCTGAATGGAGAAACAGTGAAACAAGACGCGGTCAGATTTATCTCAGGTTTCCTTGAATTTGTTGAAGATAAACTCAAAATGCTTTAAGCAAATAAAATAATATAAGACGACACAAAATTACAAAGGTCCACCGCTTTGTTATTACCGCGGTAATTTTTAATTAATTTATATCGGGGCTTGTATTGTGCAGCATGTCGGATGATTAAAATACTCGTACTACTTGCTATTTTGGGTCATCAAAATAAGAGAACATTTTGGAAGTTTTTGTGTTGCATTATGCATATTTTTGTTTTAATAGGCGAATTTGATTTAAGGTGAGAAAAATTAATATATAAACAACCGCCTCCAAGCCTGAATAATTCTACGTTAGGACATCATGTATTTATACATTTGTTGAGTTGCACGATAAATTAATTCCCAATAATTTGAAATTTTGAAGCGAAAACACAAGAAGAAAACATGGCTGGTGGTGGGCATGGTGGCGATGAAGTGATTTTGCTGGATTTAAAAGTAAGCATGTTTGGGATGAGAGTCAGAGTGGCACTAGCTGAAAAGGGAATTGAGTATGAATACAGAGAAGAAAATTTGGCCCAAAAGAGCCAGCTTCTTCTGGAAATGAATCCCATTCACAAGAAGTTACCTGTTCTGATTCACAAAGGGAACCCAATTGTTGAGTCCCTTGTGATTGTTCAATACATAGATGAAGTTTGGCGCGATAAGAAACCACTGTTGATGCCTTCTGAGCCTTACCAGAGAGCTCAAGCTAGGTTTTGGGGTGACTTCATCACCAAAAAGGTAACACTTCTGTTTCAAGTTCAATTTTTTTTTTTTTTTTTCGTGTTGGAAGTTTCAAATTTCTATTTTTTAAGTTCTTTGTTGTTAGTGATAAAATTGTAACCCTTAAATTTCGTTTATTAATGCCATGATGTTGTGGAATTTCGTAGGTTTATGAAGTTGGAAGAAGAGTGTGGGTTACAAAGGGAGAACAACAGGAGAAAGCCAAGAAGGAACTAATAGAGATTCTCAAAACACTGGAAGGAGAACTCGGGGATAAGGCGTACTTTGGTGGTGAAGAATTTGGATTTGTGGATGTGGCGTTGATTTCCTTCTACCCTTGGTTTCATGCCTACGAGACTTGTGCCGATTTCAAGGTAGAAGCCGAGTGTCCAAAGCTGGTGGAGTGGGGCAAAAGGTGCATGGCAAGGGAGAGTGTTGCCAAATCAACTGCTGATCCCCAGGAGGTCTACGAGTTCGTGCAGTCCATGAAATTGGTGGTCGGAATCGATTAAGCAGAGGTTTTGTGGGGAAGATTTTGCTCCGGTCATTTTGATGTTTTGGATGGAGTAATGTCCTCAGTTAATCTTTCTTCTCTTTCTACTGTTGAATGTGGATGTGATTATAGCCTGTAGGTGTCCTTTTGTATAAATTGTGTTAAATCTTTCCTTGTTCATGGATGGACTGACGTCCAGTCATCCTTCCTGTACAGTACAAATTTTCAAGTTTTCACTTCTGTTATATCTTCATTTCCGTGTCTCAAATTCTAGTAATTTGGCGAATACGGATGCAATCGAAGTAGGAAGCTGATTTCAAATTGCTTAATGTCCATACATCATCATCGGCAGTTAATACAATGATGCGCACTCTTGTGCAAATTTTTGCAGAAGATAGTAGTGGGAAAATTTACAGTATCAGCATAATGGTAGTGTACACTCGAATAGCCAAGTATAGGGTATTCTCAAATTCACCTAAATGTCAGCGAGTCGGACTCAATATGACAGGAAGAATCGTTTACCTCCTTTGCCAGTACTGGGAGATACAAGTGTCTTGCAGGGAGTTGCAGAACTGAGATTGATTTCCAGCATTCGGAAACAATTTACTTCGCTGTTCAAGAGTTCAACTTCATTTCAAGAAGTCTGGCAGTCTGCAACGCATCCCGGGCTTCCTCTAGCTGGCCGGCTCGTTTAAGTCTCAGTGCCTTCAGCTTCTCGGCCTTAATTTGTTCTAGCAACTGCACTCTCTCTTCATCAGGATTATCAATCCTGGAGGGTTTTTCAGGGACAGAGGATACAGTTCTCGGATCATCCAATCCGATTGCCTTCAAGGCAGACAATAGGTGAGGGTCGAGAAAATCCTCAACTGCCACCTCATCTACCGGTTGACTTGCATTCGTAGAAGAGCTTGAAGATTCCTCCAACTGTGCCTCAAGAGCTTTTGCCAGCTCAGTTTCAGCATCAGCTTCTTCTTGTCGACCTTCCCTCCGCAGCTTAAGTGCCTGACGCTTATGCTTAAGAGACTCCTGTTGCAATTTGAAGCGATCACGACTGGATAACGTTTTTGGAGCTGAACTAGGACTGGAATCTTTCTTGCCAACGCGAGAGACGGCAGGACCCGTAACCTCACTGGGACTTGTATTTGCCCGAGATTCACTCTCATCTAAACTAGATGCCTCATGAGGCTTATTCTCCTCTAGATGTTTTTCAAGAAGCTTTGCCTTGCGGAATTCCTCCCTAGCTGCCTCCAAATACCCATCTCTTTTTAGGGAAAGTGCCTTTAGCTTGTGCACTTTTATATCTTCTTCGAGAGAATTCACATCATGTTGAGAAGGAATTTCCTTCCCGGAAGAAATTTCTGAAACTCTTTGCTTCTCGTGCGAATGAACCATCTCCTTCTGTATATCTTCTGTCACTGAACCTGCGTTTTTCACATCTATAAGGGGACTGCTTGTCGCATTTAAGTCATTCGATGGACCATCAACTACTGCTGTGGATGGACTGAGAACATTATTTTTTTCCTGCTTAATAGATTTAGCAGGATGTTCTTTTTGTGCCAGAGCTTCAAGCCCGGCCAATTGTGCCTCTAACACTTCTGCCTGTTTAAGCATTTCCTCAGCTGCCAGTGTCTCTCCTTGGCGTCTTAGGGCAAGGGATTTTCTCTTCAGTCCTAAGAGCTCCCTCTTGATGTCACTTTTGCTTTTTTGAGTGACATCAGTTTGTATTTTCAACTCTTGAGTGGTAGAAGAGCCGCCAATTAGTGGGCCAGCAGAAGATGAGGGAGGATGATTCTCATTCGCATCATCACTCCAACCTAACCCCTTTAGAAGTGATAGGTATGTAGGATCATTCATGTCTTGATCTGTCACTAGTTCATCTCCATCGTCAGTTATCATAAAGTCACCAGTCTGCTTATTGCTATAACTTGAGTGCACTACCTTTGGAGCACTTTCCAATTCTTCAAGCTGCTTCTCAAGAAGCTTCCCTTTCTTTAGTTCTTCTTCTGCCTCATCAAACTTCCCCTCACTTCTTAAAGCTCGCGCCCTCTTTTTCAGCGCTAGAAGTTCTCTCTGAATCTCTGATTTACTCTTTGGCTTACGGCTGGTGCCTTTAGCCCCGTGAATGATTCCGACATCCACATCAGTTTGATCCATTGATACTTCTGATAATTCAGAAGGAACCGCAAAATTGTCTGTCAAGTTGGTTCTATGTGATCCATTGTCAAGCTCCTTTTCAAGTAATTTTGCCTTCCTCAGCAAAGCTAATGCCTCTTCGCCATTACCAGCCCTTTTCTGACGAAGAGCCTCCTTTTTAAGAGACTGGATCTCGCTCTCCAGTGCTCTGGTATTATTATCTTCAAACTGTATGTTTAAGTCCTCATCATGAGTTGTCTCCTCAGTCCAACCTATTGCTTGCAGGGCAGCAAGCATATCTGGATCGTGCAAATCGTCCCGAGTGACTTCAAGATCTTCATCATTGCCAAGATCTTCACCAAGACCGCCAAAATCTTCACCAAGACCGCCAAAATTACCAAGATCTAAGCCTTGATCCAGATCAAACCCAACTGATGAATCTTCATGTTTATCAAAATTCAAACTACGAACCAGTGCAGAGAACTCTTCATCAGAGTCGTCTTCAGCATCTCCAATCAATTCCTGTTCTTCAATCTGCTTTTCAAGAACTTTGGCTTTCTTCAATTCTACCATGGCTTCCTCACGTTTTCCTTGACGCTTCAGTTCAAGAGCCTTTCTCTTATGAGCTGTGACTTGAGATTTATCAATGCCACGGGTTACATTTTCTGTTTTAGCTCCGTTGGAGACTTCTCCAAGAAGTTTTGATAACTCCCCTTCCAAACTTATAGTCCCTGATCTTTTATCGGCATCATGGAAATCCGCATCTGACCATCCCAGTTCTCTAAGCTCAGCAGTAAGATCATCCTTTTCTATATTCCTTTGAGAGGAAGGCCCTTTCTCCAGAGAAGATGCCTCAGCATCAGTTTTTGTGCTTGAAAGTTTAGAATTGTTGCCCAGAGACGAAGCCTTTCTACGACTCTTTCTCAAATTAAGCTCCAATGTTGCAGCTTCCCTTTCAAGTTCTTTTCCTCTCTTGAAAGCTTTCAACGATTCTTCACGTTTCCCTTCTGCCTTTAAGGTTCTGGATTTCTTCTTTTCTTCCACAGCTCGTTGACGCAACTCTTCAGGAGTAACATCAACTCCTGCTGCATCAGAAGGCTGATCACTCGAGATGCTTCCAATATCATCCTGAGAGGGTGTCCCTCGCAAATTTGAACCCGATGCGCCACTCGCGGGATGTTGATCACTTGAAAGCATATCACCAGTTGATGCTGATCTGGATGATGTCAACGTCTTTCCTTCAATGCCGAGAATTTGGTTTAGAACTTCATCTTCACTCTTTGCTGTAAGCTTTGAGCCACCTGCTAGCAGAAAATTTACAAAATTTCCTCATAAAAGAAAAATATTTCATAGAGACTAATTTCACCTGCTGTGAATATAGCTTCAAGCGGTAAAGAAAAAAACAGCGAAAAGAAATGAATCCTTTATGATGCGACGATCTAAGTGAAATGTTCTGCAACACAAGGAATAAACAAATTGTACAAACACGCAATACAGTTACTTTATTGTCTAATATCAACTAATAACAATAATTTACATAGAACTCATCCTGGCTCTGGAAATTAAATTGCTAGAAAATGTTACTCCCTCCGTCCCACAAAAATAGTCCACATTGAGTTTTGAGTTTTGTATTGTTTTTAGTACAAATTTAAAAACTCAATATGGACTATTTTTGTGGGACGGAGGGAGTACTATTTTAGTTGAAAAGTGCAAGGAAAAAAAGAAAAAAGAGTTCTGCAATTCAACTAACAACTTTTCAGTTACTATTCATTACCTCTCCCAGCAATACAGTTACTTTATTGTCTAATATCAACTAATAACAATAATTTACATAGAACTCATCCTGGCTCTGGAAATTAAATTGCTAGAAAATGTTACTCCCTCCGTCCCACAAAAATAGTCCACATTGAGTTTTGAGTTTTGTATTGTTTTTAGTACAAATTTAAAAACTCAATATGGACTATTTTTGTGGGACGGAGGGAGTACTATTTTAGTTGAAAAGTGCAAGGAAAAAAAGAAAAAAGAGTTCTGCAATTCAACTAACAACTTTTCAGTTACTATTCATTACCTCTCCCAGCAATACAGTTACTTTATTGTCTAATATCAACTAATAACAATAATTTACATAGAACTCATCCTGGCTCTGGAAATTAAATTGCTAGAAAATGTTACTCCCTCCGTCCCACAAAAATAGTCCACATTGAGTTTTTAGTTTTGTATTGTTTTTAGTACAAATTTAAAAACTCAATATGGACTATTTTTGTGGGACGGAGGGAGTACTATTTTAGTTGAAAAGTGCAAGGAAAAAAAGAAAAAAGAGTTCTGCAATTCAACTAACAACTTTTCAGTTACTATTCATTACCTCTCCCAGCTTTATTTTTGTGTCCATGTCGCATTTCAAAACGCGCTGCCTCCTCTAATTTTTTACAGGGTTCACATATACGCACAGGTGAATCACCTTGTCCGCGCAACACCATCCTTTGCAGGGTACAGCTGTTACAGAATATACCCCCACATCGGCGGCAGTGGTGCTGAAATTCCACAACAAGAAACATCAGTATGTTTGAAAATTAATTTTAAAAAATTAAAACTATTATGTTTCTGAAACAAAAGTCACTGGGATCAGTGGAGCAGAAAACTATGTTATACTTATGTGAAAATAAAAACATGGTTTCAAAAAACAAGAATAACCCATTACCCAGTAGAGGATAGAATTGCAATTCCCTTTAAGAAAAATTTCTCGTAGTTCCTACATGTCTGCCATTTTAGAATTTCTAGAGTTCCATATGATGCTATTCTCTACTTTCGGTTATATTCCCGCTTCCTAAAACATTTGACGAAGGAAAATCTTTTTCAGGTTCCCTTTCCCTTTTGGAAGAAGAGCATTCTCAATACCATTATTTTCACGGAGCTAAAAGAACGGTTAAGACATGAAATACTATTAAGTTCTTTGCACGCATTCATTTCACACATTTTTATAAGGTATCTCTTTTCACTTCTTCTTCACAAGTAATTAGAAGAAAATTATGCGTAGTGTCCTACCCAAACTCAAGTAACTTCAGCAATTTTGTGAACACCATATGTGTATCGCAATACCAAATGCAATTTCTGGTTAGGAACTTCTGTTACAGAATCATGGCAATAAAATTGCACCAAAGGATGACCTTAATCATTCATTATAAGAAAGAAGCCATATCACCAAATTTCAAGGAGAAAACTAGCATTAGTCAAGCATATCAACCCAGAAATCGGAACAGAAACTACTTATTAACATCAACAGGAAAACAAAAAAAAAGATCCAGAGACAACAATCTACATACATGCTAATGTGTTCCATTTTCAAAAGGACCATTAGTTTAAAGAGATGGAAAACTGAGTGAAGCTAAATAAATCCAAGACCAACATAACTAGATAACAGTATCGAGTCTAATATCCATTCGAAAGAGCCATGATCTAACCAACTAAAACTACATTTCAACTAGCAATTTCTTCTCTTTTTTTTTTTTTTCCCGATTGCACTTGTCTGACGGAATACATTAACTAGCGATTAGCAACATGTAAACAAAACCAATTGCACCAAAAATTCTAAAAAGGTAAAAATGAATCATAACTGCCCACCACATCATTAAATAACCACGAACCAAAAACTAAAGAGCCCAGAAAATGCAACTCCGATCTTAAGATTCCATAACAGAAATCAGTAGAGCGAACTTGATGAAAACAACTAGACTTTTATCAACAGTTTGACTTTGACCGATTCATAATCATGAGATTGCCTAAAAGCAAAAAAGTTAAACTCTGCTGAAACATAGAAAAGAGGCAAATCGGAGATAAGGGCTTTGAATAAATAATACTAGTGGATTAAAACATAGAACCACTGAAACGGTCAAGAGAAATCAGAGAGAAATTATTATTATTATGATATAAAAGGAGAAATCACCTTGCGATTAAAGAAGGTGAACTGTGAAGAGCATCCTTGGCAATGGGAGGCGTCAGCCACCCAATTATTTCCCCTCAGAGATGGCTTCGGTGGCAAACCGATCTTCTCCAACATCTTTTTCCGGCGGTTTAAGACAACAAACTAGATTTCCGATCAGCTATGTTCTTCGTTTCTTGGGTCCTTTTTTCTTTGTATTTTCCTAATTCTTTTCAGTTTTCCACTCCCTCATTTTATTTGCCTTTTCTTTTTCCTTCTTTTTCTTTTTTTTTTTTTTTTTGTTTTGCCGTATTTGTTCCGTCATGACATGGATAGTCTAAGGAAATCTTTTCTTTGTTGAGGAAGTTGGGCTTTCTTGCCATCGTGTTGGATCATCATTTACCACGACGAAATTTGGGATTTCTTAGATTAAATGGCTCAAAAGAGGTTGGGCCGTTATTGAAGCCTAAACTTAGGACCAATACATGTTAGTAGATTTACATTTACTGCAGCAAAAATGGTTTATAATCCCATATTCCCAAGCCTCTCTCTCTGCAAACCAACGGTAACAAAAAAGTCCTTTCCTCCAGTCCACAATGGACTCGGAGATGGTGGATTCCTCACCATTGAATTATGATAAAAATAACCCCATACCAATCGATCCCACCACAAATAAACCTCAACCCAACTTCCTAGCAAGTAATGGAGTTACATCGGAGGAAACACGCCCATCGAATTGGGGCCAATCCTTTAGGGATACCTTATTACAGGGCCAGCAAACAAAAAATTCCAAGGGATTCCACATGGAATCAGTAACAACAGAGGAAGGTGAAGTCACCTACGGAGAGGTCGACGACCTCTCTACAATTGATTTTGCCAACCCGGTCCAAAGAAGAATGAATCGCGCCATGACCTACACAGTGGCTGTAAAACCTTTAGGACGTGAATTCCCTTATTGTTTGCTTCATAAACGTCTGAAGGACATGTGGCAACCAAAAGGGGAAATTTTCCCATCGGATGTTATCGAAGGTTACCATATGTTCCGACTGTCAAACGTGGAGGACTACAATCATGTCCTGCTTAACGGTCCCTGGTCAATCAAGGAGCACTATATCACGGTCCTCCCTTGGACCCCAAATTTTGACCCCACGGGCGAAAATCTATCAGCAGTACCCACTTGGATTCGGATACCGGGTCTCCCGTTAAAATATTTTCACGAAGCTCTATTGAAGGATATCACAAAGCCCATGGGAAGATTCATTAAAGGAGACAGAAATACAATCACCGCCGAAAGAGGTCGTTATGCCAGAGTTGCTGTCGAATTGGATCTGTCCAAACCCCTCAAAGGTAAACTCAGAATTGACGGAAAAACGTATAACATCGAGTATGAAGACTTGAGGCAAATTTGTTTCCACTGTGGAAAATACGGCCACGTCATCCAGAGCTGCCCAACAGCCCCACCACCACCACCGTCCCACGAGGAGGCTCATCTCCTGATGCAACACCAGCAGACCTCCCACCTGGGGGAATGGAATTACGCTCAAAAGAAAATCAGGCGACCGTACACCCCGGCAAAGAAACAGACTTTCATCTTCGGCCAATCGAAGTTCTCACCACTGTTGGAATTGGAATCGAAGTCTGCCCATGAAGGCACCGGCGATGTCCCCGATAAAACAACCACAGGTACCCAAAATGATAAATTTCCAACGAATACCACTGGTCAAACTCACCTTGCAGGTAATACCTACAAGCCCAAAAGCAGCCCAAGCACAGGGAAAGGTAAGAACCACGGCCCAGCACCCAAAGCCAGCAAAAGAAAATCCGATGCCGCACCAACGGACCCTACATGGTCCAAGAAAACCTCACCAGCTACCAACCAACCCAACCTTGAAAACCAGCACAATAACCAAGTGGGTCAGCACCAACCTGGTCCCTCCTCCGGCCCAAAACCACAGCAAAGAACTAGTTAACACTCCCCCAACCCACCCCACGGCACTGCATAGCAATACCTCAGCCACAAAATCAATTCTAGACCCCTTAAAACATAGTGCGATCCAGATACCACACCCGAATCCGACTCACAAAACCACCGGCACCGATCCCACTGCCGGCAAACCACCCGACCCAAACAAGGGCTTTCACCTAAAACCCAACCTTAAATTTCAAGTAGGCTGCTCAATTCCTCCAGAAGAGATAATCGCTGAGGACAAGGAAATGGCTGATGTCAAAGCAAACATAGCGATGGATCAATCTGGACAGTCAAATGAGGCTAGTCCAAGCGACCCCATGGAAGAACAGCCGTCGGATCTCGGCCGGTAAAGTTCTCCATCCCTCTCTTAATTTTTTATCATTATGAGTAACAAAATATTATCTTGGAATTGCCAAGGTATGGCTAACAACACAACAATTTCTGTTTTAAAGGATTTTATATCAAGTCACCAAATACAACTACTAGCGGTTTTTGAACCAAAAGTCAGTGGTAATGATGCGGATAGGATTATCAAACAAATTGGTTTAAATAATTCACATAGGGTTGAATCCGTCGGTTTTTCCGGCGGAATTTGGCTATTATGGAAAGATTGTATAGAAGTAGAAAAAGTGCAGAACGACTGGCAATTTATTCATTCTAAGATCACTTTCCCGAATAAGTCTGTATGCTATATTACCTCAGTATATGGTAGCCCTCAAAGACTAACCAGAAGAATGCTGTGGGACAAGCTTGAAACTATTGCAGGTACAATCAATGAACCCTGGATAGCTCTAAGGGATTTCAACGCCACTACGGAGGAAGAGGACAGAGTAGGGGGACGCAAATCAAAAGGTTGCAGGAAATTTCAAACATGGATACGCCGGGCAGAGATAATAGACCTTGGTTTTGAAGGCTCACGTTTCACCTGGACAAATGGCCACTGTTTTGTTAGACTAGATAGGGCAGTGGTCAACCAACTCTGGGGTGATCACTACCACCACACTAAAGTAACACATATTCCTAGAGTATCCTCAGATCATTCACCACTATTAGTCTCTTTCAGCCCAAAAAATAGCACCCCACGCCCCCCAAAACCCTTTCGGTACCAAAACATGTGGGAAGCTCACGATGAGTGGACAGCATGGCTAAGGCATATATGGAACCCGACCGGAAAGCTCATGGTCAACATGTAATCCCTGGTGGCAAACATTGATGATTGGAAGTATCACCATTTTGGAAACATCCACAAAAATAAAAGGAGGGTTCTAGCAAGATTAAAAGGGCTGCAACAAGTTTTGGTAACTCACTCCATACCTTGGTTCCAATCCTTGGAACAAAAATTAAGAGATGAATATGAAACTATATGCACCCAAGAGGAGCTACACCGTTTGCAGAACTCCAGATCATATGGCTCCTTCAAGGTGATAGAAACTCCAAGATCTTCCACGCATCACATCGTCCGGCGAGGAGAAAGAAAAGATTCAAATCTCTCCAACTAGATGATGGAAGTTGGTGCGCTGATGCTGAAACTTTGGGAGACAGAGCCTCTTTATTTTTCAAGCAACTTTACCAACAGGATCCCTCCCCATCAGAACGGTATGCTATCAGGAACCAATTTCCTTTAATTCCTAACAGATTTCTAGCTCCCCTCTTAGCAGATGTTCATGACAAAGAAGTACGGGAAGCCGTATTTGAAATGGATAAGAACAAAGTAGGAGGTGTCGACGGCTTCAATGTGGGGTTCTATCAACACAATTGGTCCACAGTCAGCACCTCAGTTGATAACTTGGTCAGAGAAGCCTTCACAAACAGCCAAATCCACCCCGACATCAACAAGGCATTGGTAGTTCTTATTCCAAAGACGGAAAACCCTATCAATTTCCAAAATTTTAGGCCAATCAGCCTGATCAATGTGTCAGTGAAAATAATCTCAAAGGTGATAGCAAACAGACTAAAGAAAGTCATGCCTATTTTAACCCTTCCGACCCAGACCAGCTTCGTCCCAGGTCGACACATTGCTGAAAACATTGCCATAGCTCAAGAAGCCATCCACACGATGCGAAATTCAAAAGGGCGCAAAGGTTGGATCGCTATCAAGATTGATTTGGCCAAAGCCTTCGACAGAGTTAACTGGAGCTTTATTGCGGATACTCTTGATGACGCTGGCATCCCTCCTAACCTTAATAGGGTGATTATGAGTCTTTTAAACACCGGAAGCACAAGCATTCTTTGGGATGGCTCATTGGACAGGAATTCAAGCCAGGTCGTGGAGTTCGTCAGGGAGACCCCATCTCCCCCTATCTCTTCGTCCTCTGTATGGAACGATTGTCCCACGCTATCAACCTGGAAGTTCGAAATCGCAGCTGGAAACCTCTCACTTTTGGCAGCGATAAAACGCCCTTGTCACATCTTCTTTTCGCGGATGATCTGATCCTTTTCGCGGAAGCTACCACTGACCAAATCCGAGTTATTCGGTCCGTCCTAGACAAGTTTTGCAAAGCTTCAGGCCAAATGGTTAGCAACGAGAAGACGGTACTTTATTGCTCTCCCAACATAGACACGTCCCTGGCGGCAACCTTAAGTTCGATGATGGGCGTCACTCTTGTAAACAACCTGGGAAAGTACCTCGGAGCCCCAATCCTGCACGGAAGAGTCACAAATTCCACCTATAAAAAGGTCCTCATGAAAATTCAAAACAGAATTAACACTTGGAATCCCCACAGATTTTCTATGGTGGGACGACTCACACTTTGCCAATCAGTCTTGGCAACCGTCCCAACCTATACTATGCAATCTACTATGCTCCCAAAAGGTATAGTCGATCAAATCGACAAGCTCAGACGAAAATTTCTGTGGGGAGCTTCTCAATCCGAAAGAAAGTTAAACTTGGTAAACTGGGATACGGTTTGCCAGCCCAAGTCTTGCGGTGGTTTAGGGTTGCGCAAACTAAGGGACGTGAATGTTAGTTTCTTCCTGAAACATGCCTGGAACCTGCTCTCAAACGAGGGAAGCCTTTGGCAGAAAATACTAAAAGCCAAATATGCCATCCCCGAAAATAGAATCCCCCAAAGTATCAAAAGGAATAACTGCTCCCTGTTGTGGAAACACATCGCCGCTGTTTGGCCGATCATCCTTGATGGAATCAGATGGACAGTTGGTGATGGAGAAACAATCCACTTCTGGGTAGACAACTGGTTGAACCTGGGTTACCCCGTCTTCCTTCACGCTAATACCACTCTCGGCAGAGGAGAACTCCAAAACACTCAGTAGCTTCATTGATAATCAAGGAAATTGGGCTTGGAGTGAACTCCGGCAGTCCCTACCACCTGATATCCTAGAAATTATTAAGGCTATCCCCCCTCCAACTGCTACAGTTGGGAAGGATAAGCCAGCTTGGAAATGGACAAAAAATGGAAAATTTTCAACTTCTTCTTCTCATTCTATTTTTGCAGGAACTAGAGGCCACATAGAACAACCACACTGGAACCACATATGGAAATGGCCTGGCCCCGAAAGGATCAGGACGTTCCTGTGGCTGCTCTATAGGGAAGCCTTGATGACAAACTCAGAAAGACTCCGCCGCCACATATCTGACGACGGAAGCTGCCTCTATTGTGGCGAATTAGAAACCTTTTATCACTTATTTCGTAACTGTAACAGGGCTAAAGAATTGTGGAAAAGTTGCTGCCCCAGTTTGGGTAGCAACTTTTGGCATAACAATTCTTGGCCAGACTGGATCTTAGCTAACCTAAAATCCTCCTTTTTGCAGAACACACATGAATGGAAGATCTGGTTTGGAGTGGCTGTTTGGAAGCTATGGAAAACCAGAAATGAGGAGACTTTTGGATCATCGACTACCTCTCTAGCTGAACTCAAAGGATCCACGCATTCCCTTATCAGAGAAGTAACCAGATCAAACATGATTTTTGCCCCAAAACAACATGCCGGGAAGCTGTTGGAATTGCCCCCACCATGGCAACCACCGCCATATCAATGGATCAAAATAAACTCAGATGGTGCCGCAAGTATTGCTGCCAAACAAGCAGCTACTGGGGGTCTCCTAAGAAACCACGAAGGCCTGTGGATCACAGGTTACGCAGTTAAATTAGGAAATTACAACTCCCTAGAAGCCAAATATTGGGGGGCTCTTTTTGGACTCCGAATTGCATGGGATCTTGGCTTTTGGAGAATTATTTTGGAGATGGATTCAGCCGAAGCCCTAAACTCTCTCAGATCCATTGATAATTTGGTCCCATCTAGCAACGTTTTGAGACACATTTCGGTCCTACTTGATAAGCAATGGGTAGTGAATTTTAGCCTCATTAATAGAACATCAAATGAGGCGGCAGATTCATTAGCTAAGCTAGGCTTCTCTTGTCCGACGGGATTACAAATTTTGTCATCACCCCCGTCGAATGTAGCTGATCTTTTAACAATAGATAGGAACCAGTCATCCCCCCATTCTTAGGGATGGTTTGTAATTAAGCTTTTATGCTTCCTTCGTATATAAAAATAAAAATAAAAAAAATAATCCCATATTCCCATAAGTCACTTATACGGCAATTTCAACATTTCCAAGTCTTTTCCAGTTACTTGAAAACTAATTAAAAAAGGAGTTGAAAATTTTCGCAAATGAATAACGAACTATTTATATTAATTTTCAGATATGTGAAAACTAAAAGGTACTCCCTCTGTCCAAAATTATTGTCCAGTTTTAGTTTTCACTTTTAATTCAATTTTGGCACAAAGGGATTACTTGTTATGCTAAAGGAAAATGATATATTTAGTGAAATAGAAAATGTTACTCTTAGTGAATGAAAATAGTGACAAAATATAGTTACTGATATGGAATAATTATGGCCCCTAGTTTTTTGTTACTTTCCCGTTGAAATTTTATTTTTCCCCCAAAATTATTTTTTTACTCTTGATTAATAAATTGACATATTTAACAAGTGGACGGTGTATTTATATTTTCATTAGTCACTATATATTACTGTATTT